AGATACAAGAGACTAAACGGGCAGCTTCTGTCCGGAGGTGAGATGGGAAGGCAGAGAGGATTGGAGCTGGTTGAATGGACATGGGGAATCGGTGGAAAGGAGGAGTGTGCTGTCACAGTATAAGGAGAGCAATTAGGGTCACATAACAATGTATGGATAAATTTTTGTATGGGAAACAATAAAAATAAACCATCTTTGCTTGTCCCATTTTAATCATGACTCCTATTTGTATTACTTACCGGAAGGTAATAAATGCCCATCTTGGGGGTTTCATTGGCAGTAAAAAGCATTCCTAAAAATAAACACAATGAAAAAGGTAAACACATGGGGAAAAGGAAAGTGCCCTTTTGTTCGTCTTACATTTTCAAATGTGTAAGGAAAAAAGGGCTCAGTACACAGCCCACAGCAGAAGACCACAGACTGCAAGTGCCCCAGGAGTCAAGCCCTGGGCTTCAGACCCTGACTCTCCTAGACGAGTGGGACCTTAAGCAAATCATCAAGCCATCAGAAATGCCAACTTTCCTATCTGCAGAATGCTCAGGTTGCACTAGTTAAACAAAGGAGTAGGCGCCCACCATAAAATTCTCAAATCTCCATAAAGTTTGCCATCATTTTTAAGGGGGAAAGTTTTAAGTTCAGGTATGTAGATAAAATGTAGTTTCAGTGCCAAAATATCCCAAGAGCCTTTATTTATTTATTATAAAAAGGAAGTTAAGAAGAAAGTCTTCCTTCTGTTAATCAGGAATCAAAGAACCAAGGTAAAGCATTTTCTACAAAATGTCATAGCAAAGTAGCTCCTAATTTACTGTTTGAACACCTTTCATTTCACTATCAACAACAACAAAAAATGTCAAAGTGCTTTCAACAACATATCACTGTCCTGAAACCACAGAAAGTCAACACCAATCAAAACAATTTTTTTTTAAATACACACATAGCTGAACTGTTTCACTGAGTACCATCATAAATATGAAGAGTTTTCATAACTGGAGACTTACAGTGGTTAAGGAGAGTCCACCTCCCTAAAATTCTAAAGTTCAACTTCACACTTAAATTGAAAACAAAGTGACATAAGGAGAATGCTACGTGTGGCTACACCAGAAAAGACCTAGATGGAATCCAATAGTCTTTACTGTAATAAAATAATTTACTCATAGGGGAGCTTTAACAGACTGAACCAATCAAGGGAGTGAATAATTTAGTATCCTTGGGATCAGCATAAGAAAGCAAAACTCAATTAAGGCACAATTTTCTGGCATTCAATAAAGGTTTTCCATATAACCCCGGTAGCAACAGTAACGTATGAATGTTATTCTTTTGAAGTACTAAACTATTTAGTACCAAAGTATTTACATGTGTCAAGTTTCTTCTCTTTTTTCAGCCACATTTGTAACCTACTACCCTGGAAAGTCTCTTTAAACAGATGACATGGCAATAGGCAACTGCCAAGGCCAATCATACCTCAGCTCCAGACTGACGCATTTTAAATTGAATCGAAATCAGTAAACATTTGGGCAGGACTTTTATGATTTACTGAGCACTTTCACAGGAATTAACTTAGTAAACATTCAATAACCCTCTAAGTAAGAAATAGCACCATCCCTATTTTACAGATCAGAAAAATAAGAGCGTAAAGAGAGTGTCACTGTCACAGAGCTAGTGAATTTTAAAGCTAAAATTCAAACTCAAGCTCTTATTTTTAAATACTTTCACAGATCAAATTATATTATTTAAAAAAATGTTTTTGTAAAATATGATAGAGGAATCCTTAGAGGAAAGACATCTGGATTATCAGATCACATAATCATGATTAAACACAACCAAATGTTAAGGGCAATGATTTGATTCTGTATTTTTAAAAATATTTTTTGCTGCTCCTCCTTCGTAATATAAAAGATTTGAAAAGCGTTTTAAACTGTTACAGAAATGAAATGCTGAGACTAATTAAGTTAATTAACACCCAATCAGAAAGCAAGAATTCAATTATATCTCAGCAGAGACACATCTTGCAAATATCACAAAAGTATGCGATAACCCTGAACAGGGAACCAACAGTTCACCAAAAACAAACATCTAAAAGCACTTAGTCAAGTCTAGAAAAGCAAGAATATATCTGTAACAGGGCTTCGAATCAGTTTGTTCCCGTTCAAACCCCTGCTGAGAATTTGCATTTCTAACAAGTTCCCAGGTGATGCTAACGCTGCTGTTTATGGACCAGTTCTGAGAACCACTAATAGAGCAGTGGTTCTCAAAATGTATCATACAGAAGAACTACCTGGCGATCTTGTTAAAATGTGGATTCTGGTTCAACATATTTCGGGTGGAAATACAAAGTCTCAGTAGGGGTTCGAACCAGAATGAACTGGTTCGAAGCCCTGATCTCTAAGTCAGAGCAAAACAAAAATCGCAGCTTATTTCACAGCTTGTAGCACCTATAAAATCTTTTAATTTCAGCACTTTTCTGGTCACAGAAACATGTTCCCTGAGGCAATGATGGAAGGAAGCAATTTCTATTGATTGTGCCTCGTCCCAAATTTTCACTAACAGTACTGCCAAAGCTTCCCAAATGCCTTTAGATATAACCAGAGAAAAAGTTTTGAGGACAGAAGACATATATTTTAACCAAAAAGACAGTCCCTGACAAAGACATCTCCTCAGCCAAACTTCACTGGCTCATTCAAATGAACATTCCACAAGGAAACACAACTACAGCTATCAAACAAGCCACAGAAAAGACAGTAATCTGAGTACACAAAAGAATTCGGAATGGACTCAGCTAGATTGTTTTATACAGTGGGGTAGGATCTGACTTGGCCAAGTGTTACCTAATGATACAACCTGATCTACTACCAAACCAAAGTGGGGAGGGCCACCATCGAAACCAATTCAATTATTCAAGTATGAATAAGAACCTCACAACCTCACAAAGCCCAAGGAGTATTAAGTATCTATAACAAGTAGAAACAGAAAATGAAACCACTGAAAGAAAGACTTAGTTCAGCAGAAATTAAGATGATCAAAGGCAAGAGAAAGCAAACATTTATGGTGTGTAAAGTGCCAGGCACTTTAAATTTACAGGTAAGAAAATAGCTTCAGAAAGTTAAATAATTTGCTCAAGGTCACCACATAGGTAAGAAAACGGAGCAGCTGACATTCTACTGATCTGGCTAACTCCAAAGCCCAACATGTGACTCTAAAGTTCCAACAACAACTAAGGTAAAATTAAAATACTTCTCACATGATCAAATAGTAAACTATTAAACAGGGTCAATATAAACATGATATAGCAACATGAAAGCACTGGTGGTGCAGTTGTTTAGCACTCAGCTGCTAACCAAAACATCAGCTGTTCGAATCCATTAGCTGCTCCACGGGAGAAAGATGTGGCAGTCTGCTTCCATAAAGATTACTGCCTTGGAAACTCTATGGGGCAGTTCTACTCTGTCCTATAGGGTCACTATGAGTAGGAACTGACCTGACAGCAATGGGTTCGGTTTTAGGGTTACAGCAACATGAAAAATATTTTTAACATAATGTCAAACTGAAAAGCAAAAGACAGTTATATACACAGTATGAGTACAATTGAAAACAAATGAACACAAGATAAAAACACAAAATACAGGGAAATGAGTATGATCATAGTACTTGTGAAGACACTATGGAAATATAGACGGTTTTTTCCTTTAAATGTCCCTTAATGTTCTTGTTTATTGTTTCAACAATAAAAATGTCATTTTAAAAGAGAAGGAAAAGATAATCAGCACCTAGAGTCAAAAGAACATATCACATATGAACTAGTCCTGTACAATCAAACCAGTGAAAAGAGAATTTGATAAAACAATACCCTCCCAGAAACATGCGCATACAAATACTCACCTGTATCTGCTTAGCGAGCTAAAGCACTCACCGAAGCGCAGACTAAAATCAGAAACACTGCTCTAAAGCAGTACTCCTCAAAGTGTGGTCCAAGGGCCAGCCTCTACACTGTTACCAGTCCATAAAATAAGTACAGAAATTCAAAGTAAGTGTTATGGATTGAACTGTGTTCCCTCTAAATATGTGTTGTAAATCCTAACCTCTATGTCTGTGGTTATAATCCGATTTGGAAATGGTTGTCTTTGTTACGTTAATTAGACTGGATTAGCATAGGGTGTGTCTTGAGTCAATCTCTTTTGAGATATAAAAGAGATTAAAGCAAGTAAGCTATGAAGCAGAGATGGGGAAAGAGAGACGTCAAGCCTCATGAGACTGTCCAGGAGCAGAAGCTAAAAGAGACAAGGACCTTCCTCCAGAGCCAACAGAAAGAGAAAGCTTTCCCCTAGAGCCAGTGCTCTGAATTTGAACTTCTAGCCTCCTAAACTGTGAGAAAATAAATTCGTTTGTTAAAGCCACCCATTTGTGGTATTTCTGTTATAGCAGCACTAGATAACTAAACTTGGATAGTGATGAAACCACCGTTCCTAATTCCACAGGTCTGGGATGAGGCTCAGACGTACCTATGCTTAAAACCCTTTCAAGACCCTACTGTTGTCTGCTTTTAACGTTTTTTTTTTGTTTTTTTTTCATACCAGGTGTTTTCATTAATGGAAGCAAGCTGAGTCATGGAGTGCGTTTTTAAATTTTTGGTTGGTAATATGGATTTTGAGAAATATTATTTCGGAATACATGGTTCCCACAAAACCTTGGAGGGATTCTCGGGCACCATGATTAGTGGGTGCCCATCTGTCTCATTGGTCATGGGTAGCAGGATGTACTGTGACACACACACACACACACACACACACACACACACACACACACACACACCCCAGGGCTCCCTAACTATCACAAGGAAACCATAAATATGCTTACAAGACTTATCTAGCTGTATAAAAGACAAAAGAGACAAAAATTTTATCCAATCACACTTCCTGGATGCACTACCTTACATTTAAGGCTGATACCCCAGCTATTTTGCCTCAATGAACGTTTCTTTCACCTTTCACCATTACACAAGTCCCCACAGAAGGGCAGCAAATACTTTTAGCAGGAAAAGCAGAGTCCCAAGAAACCTGGGAGCTGGAAAAAGTGGGTGGGATACCATATATCCCATGGCTCATGAAATGGTTAACAAGCTCCCCACATGAATCCAATGCATGCTAAAGTCTTATACTCATGCTACCTCTTTACGTGCCATACCCTACAAGGAACAGTTGCTCGATGTATACATGCTGAATAAATGACTGAATGAACAAAAGCAGGACCATAAAATGAGCCAGGAAGATGGAATCATTTCTCAATAATCTGAGCAGT